GGTGCGTGTGTGCGTGTAGGTGTGCGTGCGGGTGTGTGTATGTGGGTTTGTGTGTGTGTGTGTGTGTGTGTGTGTGTGTACGTGTGTTTGTACGTGTTTACGTGTGTGCGCGCGCGTCCCTTCACAAAACATCATTTTATTCAATAAGTGACTCAATAGACTAACCGATCAGATCGCACTATAATTGAGCCAGCGCTCTTGGTTTTCGCGCAAACAAACATTGCGCTTATACCTGTTGCAGATCGCTCCACGCGCAAGGGGCACGCCGACTGCGGTTTCTTGGCGAGGCAAGTAGCTGCGGCCTTTGCCACGTCGTGCGTCTTGTTTACCAATCATTTTCTGGCTCGCCTGCTTAGCAAACAGAATCGCCTGAGTCGACAAACATGGCGCTGAAAGGCGCGAAAGTGTCGTCTGCGTTTTGGCACGGGGTTTTCAGCCCGCAGTGCTTGTATTGCGGCTCATAATCTCTTCATCTGCGTGTTGGTTTTAACGGCTAAACTGTATGCGTTAATTTAACAGTTGAATACGGGCCTGAGAGCTGATATCAATATTTACAGAGCTCATGCTAATAATTATACTGGACGAACATTCATAATTTACACAGCTCTGTCGACGACTTGTTTCTTTGCCGTGTTTTCATTCAATCGCGATGAAGGGCTGAACGCCGCTTGTCTATATAGATGTTGACTGATAATTCCACTCATCTGCGGCCAAAAATGCGGACAGTTTTGTCACAGAAACAATATACCCACACTGGCTTCGAGTGGCTGGTCCAATTAAAACTTGCGCTTCAAACTGATTAAAGATTGCGGATCGGATGATAAAAACGTGTTCTCTCTGCTCTACTCTGTACTGTGTGCGACTGTGCGAGTGTGCGTGCGTACGTGCTTCTGTGCGTGCGCGCGTGCGTGTGTGAGCGTACGCCTCACATTGAAGGGGGGAGGTCGGGGGTGGGAAGGGGTGGGCGACTTCGTGTTATCATCTCATAAGAGGAGTCGCCGCATGCAACATGTCGTTAAGCAATCAGGGCGACATGATATCCCGCCGAGTACAAAAGCGGGGCGAAATTACCGGTATCATGGCCCCCACACGCGTACAAGCCAAATGGTCGCCACTGAATAGCTGAGTTATTAGATAATTGCTGCCGTATTATTGGGCGACACGGCGCTTTACCTTAATGTTGGGCGCAGTTGGTGGTCTTTGTATCATTGCGCGCTAGCCCGGGGCTAACGACGCCACATGCGGTGCCGCGTACCGCCTAAAATTGCGTGAAAATCGCACGATATCAACAAACTTTCACCGACGGGGTAATGCCGCACACGTGTCTCTCGTCTCGGCGGCGGGAACCAGCCTGTAAGCAGTGACGTTGTGCGCGCCTAATGGATTCCATTGACGAATGACTGTAAAAGTTGCTCATGAGAAATGCACCGTCGCTGGCCGCACGCACGCATGCATGCATAGCAATAATTCTCCCTGCCGATCTCACACTGCGCTGTCGTGTTGCCTTTTATGCCTTTGAGAACAATGTTGAGTTAGAATATTCGTCGTAAAATATTAGAATGCAAATATTTCACCGCATGCATTAGTTTAATTTACCATAAATTCGCTATAAATAATAATGAATTCGTTACGCTTATGTAACGCGTGATATCAAATGCGTAGTTTCAGCACTGCGCGACGTCGATATTTCGCCGGTGGCGGCGCTCGCCGCGTTTCTTCATCTATATACCCATAGCTTATGTGCGGGAGTGCTTAATTTAATCGCATACAAAGGTTAAGGTAGACTTACACATTACATGTTCTTTTGGCACGCCGAGTTTGACGCTACATGGCCGCATACAAAGGGCTCATGAATCGCCATAAAAACCCATGGCGGAATTCTTTCGCTCTCTACCGTCGTCCGGGGCTTTCTATGCGAACCATGGGAACCCGGTAATATCCACCTTTTGCGGATCATAATATGCGCCTATGCGGTCGCGACTGAGCGCTGAAATTAACTTCGCGCAATCTGACCGACTGTAGGCCCTACTTTATAACCGCTCAGTACTCTTTGCGGAAAGGTAAAGCATTGTACTATCATGCCAACCGACATGGCTATATGCGCCATGTTGCAGCTAGTAACGTATGTATATAGTCGGCAGGTCGGTAATACGTAGCATCAACTTCAGCGGTCGTCACAGGTCGTAATGCTTAGGTGGTATGAAGGCGCCCGGCGGCATAAACTCGAGACTTTTCTCGCTGGCTGATTACGGAGGCTAAAGGTGGATCTTCGCGTATTACGCAACCACGCATCAAGTGCAAGTTCAGCGATGGCTCGACATTGTCACGAGGACTCGTTGCTTAAAAAACGCTCTCGTACTGACAAGCAATAGTAGCGGACATAAGCGCATAGTAAGTAGGCCCTACAGCAGCGAATAAGATTTCGATAGGCGCAACAGAATACGTTTATAATAAACCCCATATCGATTAACACAGGAATCAGTTTGGCGAAAATACGCGCATCTTCCGTTACAGTCGCAAACCTTGCAGCGGGTGCAATACAAAGTTTATCAGGTGCGTTTATGATCACTATATGTATACTAGTGAGAGGTATGGGCGTTAACGGGCCGGTCTGCGCGTCAAAGACCGACACCGGAAACCTAGGGGCGCGTCCCGAGGTCACGAAGCTAGCGCTCGAGAGAAATCACTTGTCGAAAAGGCAAATCTCTCGACGCGTCGGCCTGCACTTGGCGACGTCGTGGAGCGTGAGAGATGCGCGCACGACGCATGGGTAACGCGTTAGTGAAAGAGTTGCTGGCAGGCTGCGCAGCCCCGGATACGCCCCTGGCAGCGGCAGTCAGCGGCACTCTCAACTCTTTCTACACGCACTTGAGCACTGGAGAACGCATTGAGGTCGCACTCTCAGGCCGGAGTCGTGCTCGCACCAGCGTGCCTGCGCACGTACCTGCGCCCCCATGCTCCGTAGCTCACAATAAACACTCACGGCGGAGAACAACTTTTGATAACTTTCGCCGCTCTCGTGCGCGGCGCGCGGGGCGAGAAGCTAGAGCGTGTTTGTAGAGTTGGTCGCTGAGCAGTTTCACAAACAAGGCGAATAATGGCGAAATGTAAATATTTGGTTTATATGAGGGTATGATATGGTTTTTCGGCAGTGTTCGTCGCTGAAGAGTTACGATGTTTCTACAACGGCCTGTTTATGTACTTTGTCTACGTTCCCGTTTTCGGATTCTTCACATATCATACGCAGCGGTGGGATTTAGTGACAGTGGGTTCACAGCGT